ACGTTGCCGTACCTTTGAAATTAGAAACATTGGTCGTGCGAAAAACGTACAAAATGCAAGAAGTTTTTAGATATCGTCTTATTACGTTTCCTGGTAGTACAATTTATTGACGTAATATTGACTCAATATATCCCCACTGCATGCCAACATTTCAATCAATATATCGCCAATAAATTATGCGCTACTTGGGTTTTAATTAACTAGACTACAGTCTGAAAAAAATGTCATATCATCAATCCGTCGGGATTAACTAAACTAGCGTTGGTCGTAAAATCGTTGATAGTTGTAGCATACTAGGTACACATCTCGCGCTGATACGCCGTATCGATGGGACGCGTTTAGGTAGCTGAACGACAAAACATCAAGTGGAAAGGCTTGGAAGTGAACGTAATCCTACAGCGATCTCAACGAAGCGTATGTCTCACTCTATATCGTACAGTTTTTTGTACGTAAGAAGTGTCACGTATGCTTCGATCTACTTCGACAACGTTCCACGCTACCATTCGATTTTTCTTGTGGATGTGCGCCGCTTCGAACATCAATGAAGATAAGATGCAACTTTTTTATTTTTCTAAGAATTGTACTAGAGATGGACATCGTAAATGAATAATCCTGGTGAAACGCTCGATAATTCTAAATATTTCGGGTAATCATCGTTAAATGGTGTGCTGAAGATTGTCAAATTAGATACGAAGCAAAGCGTCCCAAGACTTAGACAGAAATGCTTTATATATTACAATATTATATATATATCTATATATATATATATATATATACAATTAATAAAAATTCTTTCGTGACGTAACAGCGCCACGCTTTCACAATTTACAATTATTATCAATAGAAACTTCATATTCAGTTTTATGGCCATTTATATTATAATAATACGTGAAATTATTTTCTGACTTCATCCTTACAATACGACGTGTTAGTCAAGACTAATCTTTTCACAAAAATAGGGAAGTTGCATGTAGATGCATTATTCTATAAGTTTGTGAACTATTCGCCATGTTACTCTGTACCATTATTAATTATTTATCGGCGTTTAAGAGAGACACCACAACAAATTTTTTTTACGTAAAATAAAATTGGTTAATGTTCAAATATATTTTATTCTCATTTTCATACTTTTTTTTTTTTATCAAAATAATACAAGTAATGTGGCAATTTAAACATACGTCAGGAAATTATGGCACTGCGGTATAATTACAGTGACGTTACTTAGATCTTTGTATATTTTTTTCCTTTCGAACGTTGCATTCACATTAAACAATACATCATTTCATTCTGCATTTTAGCTAAATCGGTGTGAACACATTTCATTCAACGTTTGTTGTTTAGTGAAACGTTTAAATGGATAGCCGTCTTATAGGAAATGTTCTTAGCAATGAAATCATATTCTTTTAGATGTCAAATTTTTGACAATTACATCTCAAGAGAAATAATCTCGTGAATTATCAAGAGATACTAGATCAATTCCGATTATAGAATATTATAAATGAAATCTTTCATATGTTATTGTTAGCCTTAAATTAAGTTATATATTGCATCCTGACGATAACAGTTTTACGTCTTTTTACTATCTAATAATTTGAGATCAAAAGCAAACGAGAAATTGTCTTTTTCCCAGCTAATTCTATAGCCTCGATATTATAAGCTCAATTACTTTTTTTTTTATAGAATGTTACAATAAATATAAAATATTATATGAAAGTGTATATAATCCTTGTATTATCTTAAGACGCTATAATCGTTCACCTGAGAATTAAAAAAATTGTATATATCCGATTATTCAAAATTTTATTTATGTTACGTGAAGACTAGTAAAATTCAATAATGAACTAGATAATATGGACTACGGAGTTTAGGAACAAATAGGTAACGTTGATCGTTTGAAACAGTAAAATACCTACGTGTCGTCTCGAAAAGGTTCGTGATCGTTACTGTTATTTAGCTCAAACGAGTTGAAATGATGCGTCAAATAGGATGCGAATAAAATGAATGTTACATCGATTATTGATACAAGATGCATGGCTAATTATGCGTTCACTTAGTTTATCTTCGTTAAGTTTGTTTCTTTTATTTTCTCGCCTTATCTCATAAAAATCTTGTACGATCTACACGATCGCATTACTTTTTTTGTTACTACCTATATTACAGATTTAATTGGCCGTAATTAAAGGTAATGAACGGGAGTAAATTCTAGCAGTTCTTATCTTTTTTTTTGTCATAGATTTAAGGTATTTATAAGTGAAATGGCACAACTGATAAACGGTCGACAAGTACGGCTGTTTTATCATAATTGTGCTTGCTCTCATAGAGAAAAATACTGTTATTCTAATTTAACATTAAATTTCAAATAATAATCTAACGTATACGTACATTATTTAGAAATTACGGACAAAATCACGCACCGCAGCCTTTCATTAATCTGAGATAGTCATATGTATAGCATTATAAATTACATTTGGTCACGACGAACAGTATCTTAAATTATCGATGTATAATTTAAAAGTATTTAGAAAATTCTGATTGTGTACCATAATGGAAACGTGCCTCATGAACGTACGATTTAAATAACAAGATATTCTCACGAGAAAACTGCCATACTAGTCGGCGTTTTTCTTGTATAGACCATTTGGTTGGATAAAGAAATGTCTTCTACGTATGATTACTTGCACATGTGCAATCCAGTATACGTCTTAAAAATATCCGAGTAAATTCTACTTCTCGATAAAAGGCAAGAGAATTGTTCCGCTCGTGTTCATCCTATAGTATGATAACGCATCTACCGGGAATACGTACTTGTTTCGTGTTTCGATGGATTGACTCTTCGTAGATAAACTGTAAACAATCAAATTCGGGGGAGCGAATTCGCGTAAAATTGTTTTTCTTCTACGCATACACGTGTTTATCTCTCCGTAATCGTGTCGCCGGTCGAGTGCTCGTTTGTATTTTCCAGGAAACCTACGGCAATCTACTAAACTCTACAAATCTATGCGGCCATGGCCACTTCGACAATCTCGATCTGTATTTAAATAATCATAGATGAAAAGTCGAAATTTTTAAGATATATATATATATATATTTATATCACGTACTCGCGAACTCGCTTGATAATAATCGTGACGTATCTTACAAGTATGTATTATACACATTATATATCTCCATAAGATTGGAACGTCTCGTGTGTGTCGTATACCTAAAGTCGCGCGTAATTTTCTTTCTTTTTCCATACTTTATATTATATACAAATTGTAAAATGTCTTCTTAATGAAAAAAGTTGTGTCGGTCTATGTATATTTCTTTTCTTGGTGTGTATTTGTATTTCTGTAATATTTTCTCTCTCTCCCACGAGAACTTGAACGTATATATAGCATTTGTATTTTTTTTTCACGTATTCTTGCATTTTTACACACACATACGACATTCCCACACATACTCGTTCGCACTCATTCGCGATTTCGATCACCGACATTCGTACCTCTTTACATTCGCTCCCTTTCGTCTTTCCCATGTGAATTTTTCATGTTTTCACAGAGTATCTTTCGGTCGCAAGATACATAATTATCTCCGCAGTTTTTTTGTACATGCGTGACTTTTCAAGGTCAGTTTATCGCATAATTTCACCTGCGATGTGATTCCACATTTTTCATTCTATTTAAAAGTTAAATAAAAAATAAATATGAGAATATAACGCGGAAAATACACACACACGAGCACAAGCATTATATAATACTATTCGGTATTCCAAGTCGTATCTGATGTTCAAAACATGCATAATATAAGTGTGTGTGTACACATACACACACGCACGCACACATATATATAATATATACACATACTTGAGATTCACGGAATGTAATCGAATTTTTATTTTGAGACTAGATTAATTTTAAATTAGCGAAGAAAATTGTAAATGTAAAAGGAAATATGAGAGCCTGTGTTTATTTGTATACCTTTGAAGAAAATATTAATCGAAATGTAAGCCGAAATATTATATAAAAGAAGAGTGATAGAAACGTCAACAAGACTTCTACGAAGCGAAAATTCGAATAGCGAAACGTAAAACAAACATTTTAAAAAGTAAACACTTTTTATCACTGTTCTAATTTATGGTTCCTAAAGATTCCTAAAGGTTTATATGCTTCTGTGTCACTTTCCTCTTATATTCAATGCACATTCCGATCTGTATTTTCACTAGGATATTGTTTCAACAAATATCCTTACACAAGTAATATCTTTCTCAAGGAAAATATAATAACTTCAATTACAAAAGATCAAAGATAACTTATCGTTAGCTATGGACTAAAAATAACCTACATTGCTATAGACTTATCACACGTATAGAATCTCATCGCATGTCACACTCTTAATGATGCCAGCGAACGACACAGCCATTTATCTAGAGCGTGAGAACGGAAAGCTCGTCCTGACATCTCGAGCGCCAAAATTCTCGCTTCCTCATTCGTCGAATTCTCATTTCTCACTCGACGCACAGATGCATCAAAAATTCATTCATCGTACATCGGATATTTTAATATTCTCGGTTACGTGAACATGAATTAAACTCGGATGATGGCGGAATGAAAGAATTATACGTATCGCGTGGGTTTACGAAACATTTTCGTTGAGGAGAAGCATCCGGCGCCGTCATTATTCCGGTGTCTCAATCTGAATTGAACAGTTCCATCTCGATCCAATTTCTAACCAATTCCAATTTTTTGACTATCTGTACGCGAAATCTTACTCTCACTCTACGAGAGTGGAACGCAAAAAAGGGAGAGAGAGAGAGAGAGAGAGAGAAAGAGAAAGAGAGAGAGAGAGAGAGAGAGGGAGAGAGCGCGAGAAAGATAGCGTCTCGACGACGATTGAAATTCGTTGAAGTCGCCAGGCAGAGGCACACGCTCCCCTCAGACGGACACTCGCCGCGGCTGCTCGTGGTAATGATGCTGCTGCTCGTCAAGGAGTATCACACTCCTCGCAGCAGAACAACGGCGTCAGATGCTGGCACGATGCTGATACAATGGCGGTAATGGCAGCATTGAGGAATTCTGTGACGACCGCAGATCGCCTCGCACGCTCAACGCCGACAGCTGTTGCATTGGCAGCAAGTGTGAGATCTTACCCGGCGAGCGGCGCACCGTGAAACGTGGTCTCCGCCGCTTCCTCTGGAAGCCGCTGCAGCGGCAACTGCACACTGACGCTTCGTCGTCCAACGACATTGCGTTCCCGTGATTGCCAATTTGGCCGGACAGTATCGAGCCGTTTGCCGTTATCACATCACCCTCAAGACGCACCGCGCCCTGGGCCGCCTAAAGGAGGAGGTGAAAGCGATCGATTAATCCTCATGGATGAATACTCATTGCAGTGGAAATGAAAAAGTCCACTTGATAATACTATTTCAATCCGTAATATATCTTTATGTCTCTTATGTCGCAATTCGTAAAAATTTCATGTAAGAAGAAATGATAATTAGAGAAAAATAGTTGATAAATACTAAATATACGATAGAATAATGGATGAACGAATCTTATTATGTTAGAGATACAGGTAAGGGTGATATGTACCTGTAACGCTTCGGCTTCATCTCGTCTTTCATCCTCCGTATTCATAGTCACGAATCTCAAAACCAGTAAATTAAGCGAGGCCGCCACGATCGCCAAGCCGAAGAGAATAAATATTAGGGCAAACATCACATACTCAGGCTTCTTGTTGAGCGCATTATCCTTCTGCAGCGCGACCATGTCGCCGAAACCGATTGTCGTCAAAGTAATGAAGCAATAGTAAATGGAATCGAAGTAGGACCACCCCTCGTACCTGGAGAACGCAGCGGCGCCGCCGGCAATAGTCATGCATGACAATGTTGTTACCACGCAGATGAGATTTATCTCCGAGGCCTGCAATATGTTGCATGTTAATTTATAAGTCTAAATTCTGTTACTTACATATAATGTTACATATATTGTATCATAATAAACGCTTAAGGAACAAGAACGATTCGAATAATTTAATCTTCGGTATTCGAGCGAAGAAGATACTCGAGGGAAACTGTACTAGATTACATTATTCAAATGATATGAAATAGAGGAAACCTACATAGGTTCGCTATAGATTAACTTTATAATACACGGAGAAAAATGTAAAGTAATATGCACTAGAATTCAATAAATTTTATAGAATTGGCAGATCTACGTAAGCACCCGTTTATGTAAAATTTATGTATTTTACTTTTCTGGTAAATGAGCAATAGTTGTACGGCTACATTGCACGGTACTTTTTATATTTCATAAAGTAAATCTTTAAATTATCGTACACATCTCATTAGAATTTATTTACTTTACCGACGAGTATCTTTTGTCTTAGAGCTGATAAAATTTATTATACTTTATTGCGCGGTAAAATTATAAGCGTGTAAAACCTTGAGAGTTGTTTGTACTTATAGTCTTCAATATAGTATTTTTTTTACTATAAGATAATAATTACTTGAATGAATCTATTGTAATCGTAATGTATTATACTTTTTTTTAAAATATCTTTTACTGTTTTTTATTTTTATTGTTAGGCAAGTAAAGTTTATCATAAGTTCAGCACAAATAGTCAGAATATTTTTACTCGTAAGATAAAAATTACAATTTCTCTCTCTCTCTCTCTCTGTATGTGTGTGTGTGTGTAATTTTGATTTAAAAAAATTTCAAAAAGCCAATTTGAAGCCAAATTAATTATTAGATTGTAAATAATTCGAGATATCATAATTTTGATTTTATGATGATTTTATAGCATCTTTCATATTGAAAAAAACAAATTTCTATCAAAGTTAATTCTTAAAACATTCGTAATTTTTTAAAATTCAATATCTATCTCGATATTTCAATATATTTTAATTTAGTCTACAATTTATTTTCTGTACAAAATTCAACTTTTAAAAGGATTCCTATATACAATTCAAATGTTCGCATTTAGATTATTATAGTTCCACTATTTTAAACAGAAACACAATTTCGTGCATAATTAACTTTAATAATTTGTAGTACAAAAATTTCAGCGGTTTTAGTGCAGCCTGATAGAAAGTGCACTATTGATGTTGATAGGACGTGGAATGTTCTAATGACAAAATATATGATTCAAATAAGCTTATTGTTACCTGGACGTTCCTACAGTTTAGAACCGTCTTTACGTTCCGTATCACAACAGACGAGAACTTATTCACGCGTTCTCCTATACTTTGGAACATTACGAGTCCTAATGGGATACCAATGATCGCGTAACACATCGTGAACAATTTGCCGTATATGGTAGTCGGCGTTGAATGTCCGTAACCTGCAATATAAATGAAATGCAATATGAATGTAAAAAAAATTTTCACAGTTTTCCAGCTTCCGCGCGCGATCGAAGAGAAACGATATGAATTTAATCGCGACGTTTCGTGCGAAACTACGGAACATCGTGTACAATGTGAATCCGTGTTTTCTGTTACGATGAAAATGGTTAAATCGATTAAAACGCACTGACTGGCGAATATATCTCTGACGATCCATTCGTGCGTTGCTCAATCACTTTCAGTTTCAAAATCACGATCATTCACAAAAAACTTATACAATCGAAAATTTATCTTTTGTGATAAATGAAAAATTGATATACGCCTAAAATGACAAAAATTGTATAGAGCTTTTATTTTTTCTAATTTAAAAAAAAGCAGCTAGTAGTGGTTTAACACTTATAGGGCTCTTACAGACGAAAGACGAGTGAGATTTTGGCTGTGTTCTAAAATTTATTGCCACAGTACTGAGAAAATGTATAGTGCACGTGACGTAAGCTATAGAATTTCAGTACTGGCAGTAAATTTTGGAGCACAGCCTTTGTAGCGCCACAATTGAAAGCGCCGACCGTTCATACGGAGCTATTTTCTGGCGCTACAGAAGTGTCACGACTATGTTCATATGTATTATATGTTCATATGTATGAACAGGTTGGCGCTTTCAATTGTGACGTTACAAAGTCGCTTGTTTGTAGGAACCTATGAAGAAAGAAATCCGAATTGCAAATCAAATTTGTTTTTTCCAAACTGTCATTTGGGCACCCGCCAAACAATTTGGGTTATCTAACAGGTTTTCAATGCAAATAGATAGTAACGCAGTGGTAGTTACGCGCAATAAACTCGATTTGAACATCCAACGGTATTCAGGGCAATGGTGACATGTACCTATCGTGGTGAGGACCGTTGTAGCGTAATAAAACGCGCCAGCGAACTTCCACTGTTGGCCAGCTTTGTGAGGTTCCGTCTTCAGCACCACTGTTTCCATAATCTTGAAGTCGTCCTCGCTTATATTGTATTTTCGTATGACCATTTTCTCAATGGCTGTGAACAGAACGAGCGTAATGATTATATTGATACGTATCTCGCGAGTCGAAGGTATCAAGAGAAGTATGAATATGATGCCTATATAATGGTGCATACACCATTATTTATTATTATATTATTATTTATGATAATTTCATCGGTAAAAAAAGAGAAAGAAATATCGCTTTTTATTGAGTGTTCTTATAGAATAACATTTTTTTCGAGGGTGAAAACTTTATGTGTATTAATATTACAGCAAGACATGTTACAATAGAAATCACTTTTAATACAAAAATGATGAATAATTACAAAAAAGAAATTAACAAGAGAGAGAGAGAGAGAGACGAGTGAATATATCACACAGTTAAATAAAATGACTAATGACCTCTGAACTTTTCAGAGCGTGCTTTCAGAGATTCTGCCGGAACAGATGCTTCGTACATCAGGACGACGATAACTCGATTCTTTTAATAAAAATTACGTGTCAGTTACGCGCAAAACTGTCCCTTCCATGAATATAAAAGCCGAGGCTCGTCTTTGTAAAAAAAAAAAAAAAGAACCACAAATCGCTGTTTCACTACTAGAATTTATAAGGCTCGCGGGAGATGGCATTTATCAAGCGTTATTTTCGAGCTATCAGTGAGACAATGGCCACGATGTTGTAAGATCGTTCCCCTCTTTGACGATAGTGCAACGACATTCTTCTATTGGGGATGCCTCGCCGCATAACGTATATTCCGCACGTATGTATGTCTCGCACAAATAGCGCCGTCGCCGCATACACGATTACACACTAATGCACTCGTACATAGAGCTCGTTGCTCGCTATATGGCTAAGTAATCTACACGAATGGCAATAAAGGAGCTTAAGGAAACCCCAGACAACACAAATGCCTAGAAGCGTTGTAGAAACGCGTCTGAGACACTTAAATCCCTCCGATAATCTTTTCGACTTTTCAGATGTCTTTTAGACTTTTGTTTACTTAAGATTTAAGACTTTTTATTCATTCAATGAAGTTTTCTTAAAATCATATTACGAGAGAAGAAAGAAGCTATTATATATATATGTATATCATATTGCATAAATAAAAAAATAGAAATTACATAACAAAATTGCACGAAATAGTTTATATAAAATTGGAATCTTATATGAAAAAAATATTTTTTTCTTGTTGAAAAAATTAAAGCTTTAAATTAACTGTATTGTGTCATGTCTTTATGTATTATAATTATAAAATTAACTTTGAGAGGCATTATTTATAGTCGCTCGAGTCACTTCCCAAGAAAGTTTAGTTATTAAAAAAATTCACCTGCCTATCTTGAAATTTGCAAAGCACGAGCGACTTAACGACATCGAACTTACCATCTAACGCTTCTTTGCGTAATTTCTCCGTCTCGGACTCGAGCACGTCGAAGATTGCAGCACCGACGAGGAGATAGGTAAGCGTGAAGACGATTAATGATAAAGTCCGGACGTTTTGCTTCTTCATTCTCTAGTGAGCCACATGCTCACTAGCAGGGCCCCGGCCCTAATTACTTGCATCGCTCAGTGAGATACAATTTGGGTTGCTGGGCCCATGATGACCCGTTCTCTCTTCTCCTTCCAAAGTGATACTTGACGGGGGCCCCTCTCTTTCTTACCAAACGCTACAGACTTAACACACGATCTCTTGTCTTCAGGATATCTGTTTCCTTGCCATAGCAATCATGCAGTCGTTTCCGTTCATCTGAAACTATCGCGTCTACTTGTCCTATCAAAGCTAAAAGAAGTACTATATAAGAAATATTATCGTACTAATACAATAATTTATTAATAAAAATCAGATCGATAATAAATTTTTGATAAAATAAGAAATAAAGGTGTATGCAGTAATTGGAGCACCGAATCGATTTCATGGCAACCGAAAGCGAGCCAATGATATGAACGAAATTTACAAATCTGCTCCAGCAATACTTCGCGTTATTTAAAGATGTGGGTCACTTAAGAATGAACCGCAAAGATTGAAATCGATTTCATTAAACACTTTTTCCCTTCCCCACGAGTTCACTCTTTCGGAATCGCTTTCTTAGGTTGAAATTCAGATGCACGATGAAAAGGTATAATCGTTCTAAGCGATTAAGCGAGAGAGATGATTTTAAGACTTTCTTTTTTCCTCATTGATATAGCGAGTCAAATCGTATTTCTTCGATGAGGATCGGACTGAACAAAAAATGTGCTGATTTAGAAGAAAAGAATTTTTAGCTCACCTGCAACTTGTTCCGGATTCTCCTTTAGGTACGACGAAGAGTTGAGCAGAATGATATGGCAGTGCTTTCGCTGCTCCCACTGCCACGTTCCCTCCATTCCTCGGCTTAACACCCTACGCTTTCAGAGCCGACTAAACAAAAATAAGATGAAATTCTGATGAGTGACGAGGCACATTTCGCCGGGAAATTGGTTTCTCATAAAATTCAACATTCGAGAAACAATGCCGAGTGGAATTTATTTTGTCAATATTTGCTGACATTGTTTTTCACTTGAAACTGTTCTGATATCAAATTTTTTTTATATTTATCGGAAAAAATACTGGAATTAAGTGAGCAAGGTAAAGATTTAAAGCATGACAAAATTATAAAAAACGCTAAAATAAATTCATATATCGTATATGAAAAATATATATAAATGTTCAAAAGAAGTGAAATGTAAGTTACCGTAAATTTGAAGTCTTTTACTAAAACTACATGTCGATCAGTGAGAAAATGACTGTACAAACAATTAGAATTGTTTTGAATGTGGATTAAAGGGGGGATTTGGGATGTAAGAGTTTCAGACTGGCTTTTATCGGGATTAATTACTCGATCCAATTGAACTCTTTGTTATCCATTAACTTGTTAATTGCTTCTAGTTAAATGATATTTGAGAAAGTAAAAATTTATAAAATCCATGACAAGATTAACAAATCTTAACAGGAATAGTACCTTTATAGTACAATATAATCGTTGGTGATATATTATTGCAAGATATCTAGCAAGTATCTGATTCTCATATTTACATTGAATATATTCTCCATATTTATAATTCTAAGATTAGATAACTATATATACAGTGGAACAGTTTACATTACAAATACGAACAATGTTTTCATCGAAGATTACAACCTGCGGTAATTTTGGTGCATTTAGATGCGTGTTTGTTCATGAAACTGGAAGCATGAACACTGAAATGTACATTATTTTCTTCGTATTAGAACAAAACTCACCGGAATCGTGTTGATTTTGGTCATTGATTTCCACTAATATCTTCTATATATAATGCTATTCTGGATTGTTACATATATATGCCCTATATTTCATAAAAAGTTTGCTTTGTATAATATATTTAATTTTTAAAAATAAAAAATGTAAATAAGTCATTTTGTTACGTTAAATGTATAGGATATTCTGGATCCTTATTGTGTCTTTAGATATAGCTTTCACATATATGACTGCAATAAATATCAGATCCATTTTGTAATAAAGATTTAATCGTGACTTTTGGCGGATCCTGTATAATAAGATATATAAATGTGCGCAATGCTGTGTATAAGACAGAGAGAGAGAGAGAGAGAGAGAAAAAAGATGAAAAAAGGAAAATAAAGGGAAAATTTCGCGAGGAAGTATCTAGTAAAGAAGAAAACTGCTCATTATCCATCCAATTTGAGATGAATTCTAGTAATTCTGTAGGAGAGACCGAGGTTAATTCGGCACTTTTTTTTTTACGATTTTTAATAAGAAAATAAAAGCTTTTAGCTAAATAAATGGTACTGTTGAAAAGAATAAACCTTTGGTTATAAAATGATTCAAAGCATTTTTGGTCTATGTCACTTCGTTTCATAGGCATAGAAAAAATATGACACAACCTCTAAATGCGATATTGCAAAATTCCTGGGGTAAAGTCAGCACCCCTCCGGGATAAAATCGATACACCTCATGATACGCGCTAAAATTGATATAAAAATACATCATTTTCCTTTAAAAGAATAAAAATACTTTATTTCTTTATTTTCGCTCTAAAAAAGAAGATAAATGAGAAAAAAATGAAGAGATAAATGTTTCACTTTTGTGCGCGCGTATTTCGACGTCGAGTGCTTGTTGACGGTTGCATATCACTGGTGCCATTTTTTTTATTTATTTTCTTTGAAGATTTGTCAACAATGTCCGATGTACAATGTCCGCTGTACAATAATGTCCGTTGTACAATGTCCGTTGTACAATAATGTCCGTTGAACAATAATGTCCGCTGTACATTGTTCGATGTATGTACAATAATGTCCGTTGTACAATAATGTCCATTGCACAATGTCCGATGTACAATGTCCGCTGTACAATGTCCGTTGAACAATAATTTCCGTTGTACAAATGTCCGATGTAGGTATATAATCAATGTAAAGTCATATCAAATTCTTTCAAATCTTACCCCGTCTCTTTTTCTCTTTTTCATGGTTTAAATTAACGTTTGCGTAATAGTTTGTTAGAAATTGACGGCCTGTGTTTTATCGAATTTACGATAAATTGCTTCCGAAATTTCCATTTATTATACAGGCAACATTGTGAAGCGAGAAGAGAGAAAGGGCGAGAGAAGAAGAAAACCATTTTTCGCACATTGAACTCGTGGAAGAAGAGATCGCGGAAATTCCTTCGTGAATCAAGGTAACGATTGCGATTAAAATCAGCGATTTCTTTCACGCAGAAAATCTACTGAATACAGAATAGAGGAGACCGGGGACAAAAATAACATTTTGACTTTAAAGTATTATAACAGTTAAAATATGTATAATATTTATATTAAAAAAGTATATACCTTTAGATGTAGAATTTATTTAACTACAAAATTTTCTTTAATTCAATTTTTCAATGTAAAACTAGAGAAAAGTTATGTTTGTTTAAAGACTGAGAAATTTTGTTATAACCGTCCCAATCCCTGGGACGATTGTAACAGCAGTAGAGAAGGACAATTGTACCATATTATTTATAAATAAAATAATGGTTATTTTATTGATTTTATTAATAAAACTGTATATATAATTATGAACATTTATTATATATTATTGTTATCATATTTACTATATATAAGTACTGCAATATATTTAATGATAATCAAATTTATAAAAAAGACAAAACGAAAAAAATACTTTCCCTCTAACAAGTATAAAATTAAAATATAAAGGAACAACGTATAAAAATAATATTACAAAACAATATACTAAAATGAAATCAGTAAGTTCAGGGACAATTGTAACGTTACAACTGACCCCAGGCATCAATGTTATTATTGTCCTCTAATAATATTTTATGATTTATAGTAAATTTTTTAAATAAAAATCTAGATAAAAATTAAATCAAATGTGAAAAACATCAATACGGATAATCATTAAAACATATTGAGATAATACATTATATTTTTATTATAAAGAAAAAAAATATTTTGAATGTTATGCACGCAATAAAAGTTACTTGAAGCATGGAAAAAGTAATTTCTACTCCTGCATTCGTGCACGTTCCGCGAAAATCAGCATGTAACAAACGATTCAATGCCTACTTGTTTATAGAATTTTACTACGCGAGCACATGCATATGTCTGCTATCGTTTAAAAAATATTAACGATGTTACTATTGTACCCTAGTACTTCTGTCCCCGGTCTCCCCTAACTATCAATTTATAATTATTCGAAATATATCGAAATAATTTATAATTATTTTTATCTTTATGTTTTAAATTAAACATTCTGTATTACATAACTGGCCCTTCAATTGTTCTATTTTGTTTTAATATTATCCGTAATTCATAATGATCGATTTAATCGCTTCCATATGATTCATGTTCAGTGTTACATGCAAAAAAAATTATCGTGCGGATTTAACATACAGCAGCGTTTTATCATCTTTTTCTATGTATATAAAGCAAAAAAAGTAAAAATAGATTTACTTGCTAAATTTACTTTTACATTTTTGTCATTATCATTAAAATTGTAAGTAATTCTTAATCAAAGATAGATAAATTCATAGTAGGTAGGGTACGAAATGTCTCTTCTAAAGACATGAAATATCATGATAGATGCTTTAAAGGTACACAAGGATGATAGTACAATTTTTGTCTTTGGCAATTTAAGAAAAGACACATTTCTCATAGGAATTTATATCCTATACCTATGTATAACCCCAATCGGGGGGTCAAGGAAAAGGTCAAGAATCTATCACTTTAGGGGAGGAACGTCGTAATTCTGCGCCATCCAATCATTATCTCGTGATAGGATCTTCATTGTCGTATCCTTGGATAGGTCACGAGTTTAATAACACCAGTTAGCTATCATACTGCTCGCGATGCTTCCTAATATCGATTATTGTGCGCACGATTCTGTAAAGGGTTGTTGCGATAATGGCTTATTTGCTCCACTGAATCAACGAGAACAATAAGCCGTGGTAGACAAGTAAAGGACGACGTACTCGATCGCCCACGCCGCTCTTCTCTGAA